CCCTATGCGGGGGCTAGAAACGCGTTTAATTAACATAGCTGGCGTGGCTGCATCCCTCTTCTCTCGGGTGCCGAGCAGCCAGTCAGCTTTTACGGGCCATTGCACGCACGATGCACGTATGTATTACGTGTGCCGGCCTCCCTTTTCCTTTTCCTCCGTCTCCACCGCTACCCTTCCTCCGACGTAGTCGCATATGAACATTCAGGGTTGATAACTCGCGCCGGTGCCAAGTAATGCTATCCCCGAAAAGATTGTAACGTGACACCTTCGTGAAAAATTTCTCGCTTAGAAACCTTTGGGGAAAGGAGTTCGACGTGATAAGTTTAAAGTCATCTCCGCAAAGACGTGACAGTAATCGAACACGTTTTTTTTAGAAAAAGTAGATATCAAAATACGCAAAAAAATTAGTTTTAAATCAAGAAAAATATTCTCATACATAAACAAGAATATTATACTTTTTCTAAAAATTTTAGTCTTAATTTGATTAAATTTATATTAATATAAATATTACTTTTGTTCAAGATTAAAAATCTTTTTTATAAAGATCATAATATTCTTGCTTACATATGAGAACATAGAGTCTTGACTTAAAATTTTTTTTCTGTATACATAATAAAATAGGAAAGGTAATTATAAAGCTGCAATTGAATTTAAAGTTAATTATATGATAAATTTCGTAAACTTTTTGAAAAGTTAGTAAGATTATTGTTTCATTAAATAATATAAAGTTTAACGCATCGATTATCAAGATAATTCATTTCTGAAAAATTTTACAATAAAAAAATAGTGAAATAATATTTTCTTGAAATTATATTATTCTACCTTGTTTGACTGTCTCTCTTGACAAAAATAATATATGAACAAATCTTGTTCGCAAAATTCGAGAAACGTTCTAGGAGAAAATTTTTTCCCGAGGAAACGACAGAATCGAAAATCGTTTAGCGAGAAATATTTTTTTTTTTTTTGAAGAAACGACGAATCACAAAAATCAGCGAATAACGAATTTTTTTCTCTAGCGTGATATTTTCTTCAAGAGATACCTAGGGGTCTCGCGTGCCCCTAGAACACGGCAAACTCACGAGTCCGAATCGAAATAAAAAATTTAACGACTCCGAACGCGCGAATAAGGACGAGACGAGAGCCGCGGGACGTTCCTCGCGATCTCTTGCGTGAACATCCGTGTACATGTTGCCTTGAAAGAATCAGCTCGGATAATGTAGTGAGCACGCAACTCTCTCGCGTTGTATTGGGGCATGTGTCTCGCGAGTTGAGCTTTTGTATCGCGAAATTAAAAGCACGGAATGATGAAGTGAAAAAGAGAGAAAAAAGAGAGCTCACATGTTACAACAATCGAGAGAGACATATATGTTAATTTAATAATAAAGAAATGGATAATAAAATATAATTGCGTATATTATGAGATATGTAAAATAGAAAGCTATGTAAATTAGGCCTCTCTTAAAGCTTCAACGGAGCGGAGGAAGTCTTTTACCTCATTCTGGAGTCGCTAATACCTTCACAAATGCCTGCAGCGCATGATAACGAACTCGTGCGATCTATGGCCGGAATCCTAGCGTGTTTGCTTTTGTTTGCTCGATCTCATTCAGAGTGACGTAGAGAGAAGACGTTTTACTAGCGAGCAAAAACTTGGAAAAACCTGATACGAACAAATAGCTTTGCTTTTTTTAGCTTTCGTACACAATTGGATTTCTCCGAAAAATATGCCAGTTAAACGCGTCAGCCTTATGGAATTTGAAATAAAAAGATATTTCTTCGTTATTAACATGTAGGAGTCAAAAACAGACCTAAGTTAATATATTGTGATACTGTATTCATACAATGAAAATCTAAATAGAAAAAAATAAAAAGGAAAGGAAGAAAAAACATTCGCTTATTTGTACTGAATTTTTTTCCGCTTAATTTATGGATACAACTACGGATTTAACAATAGACAATAAATCGTTAATTTTCTTCTAATAGACAAACTGCACAGAAAAAAAATTAATTTTAAATCAAAACTGTTTATTCTCATATATAGTCGTGAGAAAAATAGAAAATAGAAAAATTTTAATCTTGATTTGATTAAATTTATATTGATATAGATATAGATATTTTCACATAGTATAATATAAACAAGAATATTATAATCTTCATATACAAGATGTTGAGCAAAAAAGTAATGCATCGATACAAATTGAATTAAATCAAGAACCAAAGAAGTTTTTTAAGGAGATTATAATATTCTTGCTTATATGTATGAGAATATTATGTCTTGATTCAAGATTAATTTTTTTTCTTATACCATTTGAAATTTAATTTCTTCAGATTTTAATTTCTAACAGGTCTCTTGTGTCGAGCCTCCGATTTCTGATATCTCTATTGCAAATTTCGGACGTGCACGCGTCTCTCATCTCGCGATGAAGATGCGACTGTGGTTGCGTGCGTGTGAAATGCCCGGAACGCCATGTGTTCGTCCGAGACAGCGGATATAACGCATGCTCGCCCACGGAAATGCGCTTTTTGACGGATCGCCCGACTAATTCGATGGTTGTCACCGCGTACGCGCGAGGATTAATGGCGACCACCTAGCTGTACCCGCCGCGAATTCCTCGGAAATTCTTCGCCCTTTTCTGCCGAAGAGAGAGAGACCCGTGCCGCCTAATTGGAACTTTCGAGCCAGCGGTAATGACGACAATAATAGAGTTCTAATTCACTCGACGACTTTGTACGCACTTTGGCGACAGGAGAACCTCGCCTCTTTCTTTTCGTTCGCGATTGTAGCGAGGCGTTCAATTATCTCTTTACGTGAAAATCTAGGCTTCACGGAACGTTTTTTAGGAATTATCTAGCAAAATATAAACTAGAGCATTGTGGTAAATCATGTCTATTGTTAAATAGATGGAGAAAACTAATTTTCTGCGGCAATCAGCTCGTGTGGAGAATTTTTAAATTTTATGCATTACATATACTATTTTTTTTTACATATATACTATTATATACTATTTATATATAATAAAAAAACATGTTAAAATATGTTAAAATATAAATTTCGTAGTAATTTAAAATTAATTATTTTTTTAGTTAAATTATTATTTAAGAAATTTTACCGACCTTTTCCTCAGCACTTCTCGCCGTTCAACTTATTGCGCTTTCTCGCAGTATGAACTGACAGCGCAATCTTGTGTTAGCACACGAAATTAAGCGAATATAAAAATGCCCTTATCCTGTTACGATAACTTTGACCAACATTCTTCAGTATCTTTTTTTTATATAATATTTAAATATTTAAATTTTATATATCAAATCCAAATTCAAATATTTTTAAAAACTTGAAAAATTTATTAAATAAAAAATAATATCACAATATTTTCATTTAGTTTCTATTCAAATAATCTGTTAAATAAAATATAGTAGTTTAAAATTTTTGTAGAATTATTTATGAGCAATTTATGTCTACCATATGGTTTTAATATAAAAATTAATAATAATTAATGTGCAATATATATATATAAATTGATACATTAATGTTAAAAATAAAACGTTCAGCTAATTTTCTACAACGCGTCGCAAATTTAACTAATCACTAATATAAAACGCATTTCTATTTTAAATAATTCAATATCAGATTATATTAAAACATAACAAAATAACACAAATTTCCAATTCTATGCTACAGTTTTTTTAAGAGATTTTTTTATTATTATTTGCTATATTCGATTAATTCACACAAGATCTCATCTGACAATTTCTTTTATTTGTATTTAATTCTAATCATTATTTTAATTCTATGTGTGTGTTTAAATAACACAAATGAAAACACACACACACACACACGACACACACACACACACACACACACACACACACACACACAACACACACACACACACATATATATATATAAAATGCTTCTCGTTTTATTTTCTTCGTTTTCTTTTTATGGAACTTTAATTCTTGGGAATGGTCTTATAACTTGAGAATTTTGTTGTAAGAATCACAAATTAAAAACTAAAACTTTCATGACATAGAGTCAAAAGGGAAACATTAATTCTGCATTAAATAACGGGTAAAATTTTTTTTTTTAATTTATAACGCGATATAATTCTTTTTATACATTTTTATACATTTATACATTTATACATTTTTATAACAATGGCATATTGTTATAATGATAATCTTTCAGTATCATCTGCTGCTGACAAAATCTCTCTTTATATTGTTGTTCGATAAATTAAGTGGAATGAAAATAAAATAATGTTGGCATTTTGACAGAGATTCTAGACATAACCAGTGTAATATTTAACAAATTTAATGAACAAATATTGATATGTGAAAATGATTATTGTTACGCATAATAACTTTTCTTTCTTTTATTTCTTTCAATTCCTTGCATTTCGTAACATCCAAATATTATATCAAAAAATTTTCCTGTATTAAATTAAAGTTTCCTCTATTAAAATCCTTTTTGCCTCAAATAATTTTCAGCTGTTTTAGATTTATCATGATTGAAAAGTGACAGCTTGAGACTGACCCTGAAGGCTTGATCGACCCTCATGGTCGGTCATGATCGGCGCGATTGCATCGTAAACATACGCGGAATGCGTCGTAGGACGTCGACGGCACGAAGGAGACGACGGAGGCCCCGATGAGCACGTCGCCGAGGGCGTCCTAGAGGAGGAGAGAATCATCTTTCTATTTCAGGCTCCCGTCTCTCGATGACGTCACACGGACGGAAATATCGTACGGTTAGGGAGGTGCAGTCCGCCTGTTGCGCGGTCCAGGTCTCGATCTTTCCCGGACTCGCGCAAAAATTCTCAACCCCGCCGTGGTTCGCAGTCACCTTCCTGACCGAACGAGAACGCAAGAGAAAGCGAACGAGAGGGGAAAAAAAGGACGCAAGAACGCGACAGTCGGTCGGCGTCGCGGTGCCGCATCGTGCGTCTTCAAGGATCTTTCTCCGGAAAGGTGCAGCCACGATCGGGAACTCCTGATTCCCTGATTCGAGAAGTGGGTTGCCGGGAATTTCGCCCACGCGTGGTCCCCACCTATTGCGATCCCGTCGGTCCAGGAATCATCCCTCAGTGGGAGATCATCACGTTCGCATACATCTTTGATCGTCGTCATTTGGGAAACAGTGTGGACCGTCTCATTTGTTCCGCAAATTATCGGTTAACGCGAGCGAGTCACCGCCCGTTGGTCGAACGTCACGAGAAGATCCCCGAGGGTGGAAGCGGGAGCAGGATCATTCATCGCCGTAACGAGAGGGAGAACGCTGAGCGACGATGCCCGGCGCCGGTGGTCAGCCACCGCAAAGGACCACCTTTCGACCACCATGGGTCAAGGATGGTCCGAACCCGTTGCCCATGCCCACCGCGCCCTGGACTCTCAACTCCCGCAGGGATTCTAAGCCGAAGACCGAGGAAGTTCCGGCTTTTACCCAAGTCACCTTGAAGGTGGGTGGAGAATATCAAGAGGGTTGATAACGCTATATTATCTTCTTCGCGATAATCGCGAGATAGGTTGTTACGAGATAACAGTTACTTTCCTCTTTTCTCGAGGACGATGAAAGAGCTTATGGAATATCGAGTCGCTCTTCAGAGATGACTCTTCAGAAACATTTTTACAACTTTGCGATGGATTTCTGAAGTCGAAGAAATTCAAGTTGAAGAAACTTTGAACTTTCATAGATAGAAGATCGAGATGACAGTAGGTGGAGCCTAAATTGTTTGTAAAATATATTCTTTATTTTACTCAATAGAATGTTGCGGAAAAATAAATTATAATTATAATTTTCTTAACATTTTCTTAAGAATAAAATATTTCTTGTAATTATAAAAAGAGAAATATTAAATTACATTTCTTGCTATTATATATATTTTTTTTAAACGAATTTATAAAAACGTATTATATTATAAACACATATCATATTATAGTAACTATTAAAGAATTAAATCATGTTTCTACGTTTACATTTATTTTTATAATCAAATATTAATATTTTAAAATTAACACAAAATCAATGATATTGGATAATGTTATGTGTTAATGTTTAAGTTACAAAATAAGAATTAATTGAGGCAAAACGCAAAGTTGAAAAAATTAGAATCAATATCGTTAGTTGAACAAGATTTAAATTTCATTTGCGCCGAAATCGGATATAATATGTTTCGTTTTCAGCATGTAAATCATCTATGCAACTTTCGCAGTCTTTTTCCATTCAGATATTGGGTTTCAAAGTCAGCGGACTTTACTGTACTGATCGTGATATTAATAGTTAGCGTGGGTGTCTTGCAAAGAGTGAGCGCGATAAACATTTCGGGTGGCGAGAAATTTCACACGATCTTTTGTATGCAAACAGTGCATTTTAATAATCTATCTTGATATAAAAACGTACTCCTTTACGAGTTTCCTTTCCTTTATAGAAAAAGTTTGCAAATATCTTAAACGAAAAATATCTCTTTTATTTTGACACTGCAATCATAAATTCAATATGAATTATTAAAATCTTATTTTCTTTTAAATAATTTACATAAAAACGTGTCTATTATAAAGTTAGTATGTAACCTAAGATAAGAGAGATTTAATAACGGTAATTTGAAAAATCATACGCACATGTGAGACTATACTAGTTGTTTACTAGTTTTCCTCCAACACATTAGAAAATTCTTAAGAGATTACTTTCAATCTCTTGGCGACGACCACAAGAAAATAAAATTACGGGATTAATGTATAATACATAATATGTATGAGATGAAGCGTAAAACCGCTAAAATAAAATGAAGATTTGCGTAGCCTGACATCATGTCGCGATATTATTTTATACGCGCTTAGATCATCAACAGAACAGATTAAATTCAAATCAGAAAATTGTCGTTAATCGGATTCTATTCATATTCATATATTTTATGATGTCACGCATAATTTTTTATTAGATTTATTTATCACACAAGTGTAATATCAAAATTAAAAATATAAAATTATTTTTTAAGATTTCCTTTCCCAATTTTTAATTGATAAAATCTTTTTCCAATTTTAAATTTTATTTATCTTTGCATTAGATAATCATTGATTGGATCGTTGTAATTACAATAAAAAACGTTTAAAAAATTGCAAGTATATAATGTATATAATTGCAAGTATACGCTGCAAGTAGTTCATGGCCGTTCGTTAAAGTCTTCAGACATGCCACACGTGCTTGTCAATTGAGATTCGTTTTCCCATCGTGAAGGAAAGTGAGACTCGTCGCACGCGTGCCCACATATAAGCCTCTGGGTCACGATTATTTAAAGAACACGCGTTTCTATTTCAAATGGCTTGCCAGCTGCGTCTTCCGCCAGTTTCTTAATGCGTTTACACCGCGATTCCGCTTGAGCATGCTCGAAAATTGCAAATGCAACGTCATAGATTTGCGCCGAAAGCGGAGACAGATTTTTTTGGAGATCAAAACGATTTTTATGGAAACAAAGAGAAAATGACAAAAATTCCTGAGAATTTTGAATGTTTCAAAGTTGAACGGCGATACTAGAGCCTAATTATTTAAAAAAATGGAAACTCCGCGTCGATGACGATCAGAATTGAATAACATGATATCTCAAGTGTGAAATTCAATGTGGATTATTTAAAGCCAGCGGAACAAACTTTTCGAGACTTGCCAAGAAAACTCTTTGAATCTCTCTTTCTTTCTCTCTTGATCTTTCTTTTTATTTCAAACAATCAAGAAAAGAGGAATGGAAGGAGAATGATTCTTTCTTTTTCTATTATCTGTCACGATTATCTTACACTAGACACACGACGATTATTCTTTCGTATTCTTTTTAATGTGGCGCAGTTATAGAAAAAAATTATGGAAATAAAAAATGCGGGAAATTGATTTAAGTTGTGAAAATATAACAAAAACGCGAATTGTGAATCGAAAAGATGAGGCGATGGTGCTAATTCGTTTCTTGAATTATAACAGAATTGTTATTTTATTAATAGAATAAAGATTAAAATTA